AAAACCTGACAGTCAACACTGTAAAAGTAGAAATTACCATTTTTGAAATTACAGATTGTTGACGTGGAACTTATTTACAGTTTTGGCCTGTTTTTTGGGGTATTTTTTTCTTTCCGATTTTACTAGCTGGCTAGAATTTAACAAAACCAGGGGACTTTTAAAAGTTTAAAAAATAATTAACTGTTTTCAATCCTTCACATACTTAATTTTCCTTTTACACAAATATCTGCAAAATAACTATTGTTTTCTGATTAAACACTAATATATGGACGTTATTACTGCTTTAGTGATTTTACAAGTTACCTGTAATTTACCAAAACAGGAAAAAAAAATCAAAATAGCACAAAATGTTTTAAAACTGTCCTGTGATTTTAGATATCTGTAATTTAGTAAAAGATAAATAAATAAATAAAATAAAATAAAAAATAGGGGAAGTGTGTAAACATAGCTATTTCCTGAAAGCTGACGTCACCGACAGCCCGTGAAGGCAGCACCGGAGCTCCAGCGGAGCGGAGGCAGCGAGCAGCAGCGTGGACATGTCGGACCCGGCGGCGCAGGCCTTACAACCCCGGCTCCTCCAAGCCCAGTCGGCGGGCTCGGCGGGGGCCAGCACCGCCGCGACGGGCTCCGGGTCGGGCAACAGCGACCCGGCCAGACCCGGACTGAGCCAGCAGCAGCGTGCGAGCCAAAAGAAAGCCCAAGTCCGAGCTTTCCCACGGGCGAAGAAGCTGGAGAAACTTGGCGTCTTCTCCGCATGCAAGGTAGCTTAGCATTAGCACGGCTAGCCAAAGTTCAGCACAACAAAGCGGGCAGCGGCTAGCGGCTAGCGTTAGCATCAGGAACCAGAACCATAACAAGTAGCACTGAATGGTAACTTTTACAGCTAGCTAGCTAGTTAGCCTCACTAATACTGCCGTTAGCCACATTAATCCAGAGGAGATGCTTTAATTTGAGCTAGCTAACTAAATTATTACAACACAGCAGCTTTAAGTGGTTTATTTTGCTCTTTCTCAGGCCAGTGACACTTGCAAGTGTAACGGATGGAAGAACCCAAATCCTCCATCAGCCACCCGGATGGATCTGCAGCAGCAGGCGGCCAGTCTGAGCGAGCCCTGCCGCAGCTGTGGACATGCCCTGGGTACTAACTACCTCCATACCTGCTGCAGCTCACACCACACCTGATAAACCAGCAGACACCTCCTGTTTAGTTCACATGTGTGACTGTGTTTTTGTGCTCTGTGGCTCCCTGTGTGCAGCTGATCATGTGTCCCACCTGGAGAACGTGTCTGAGGATGAGATTAACCGGCTGCTGGGGATGGTGGTGGACGTGGAGAACCTGTTCATGTCTGTGCACAAAGAGGAGGACACTGACACCAAACAGGTGTACTTCTACCTGTTCAAGGTAGGACCCGGTGTTGTCAGACGTGGGATGAGTGACGTTAATCTGCTGAAGTGCCATTTAGATACAGGTCACTTTATTCAGACACAACAGAAACCGAGAAAACCACTGGAGGATATTTGTAACACACGAGACTGGACAGAGCATTAGATGATGTATAATTCCTGTTCCTTATGTGACGGTATCTCAGGTTCTTTGTCACATAATAAGGTCTAAAAAGGGCTTTTGACAGACATAACAATAAACCAGCAACCAAGAATCCATGTGCACGATTTTTCTTCTGTCCCAGCTCGACTGTTGCTATAAAACACACACAATGTTCTTTCTCTCAGCTCCTGAGGAAATGCATCCTGCAGATGAGCCAGCCGGTCGTGGAGGGATCCCTCGGAAGTCCACCTTTTGAAAAGCCCAACATCGAGCAGGTGAGCTCCTTCTGTCCATCTCCTGATGCTCAGCAGTGACCACCACTTCTGTGAAACGAGTCGTAAGCATAAACCCTTCACTGATCTTGTCCTTCTTCTTTGTCCAAAGGGGGTTTTGAATTTTGTCCAGTACAAGTTTAGCCACCTCGCACCAAAGGAAAGACAGACCATGTTCGAACTGTCAAAGATGTTCCTGTTGTGCCTAAATTACTGGAAGCTCGAGACGCCGACGCAGTATCGGCAACGCACCCAGAAAGACGACGGGACGGCTTACAAAGTGGACTACACCAGGTCTGTACATGTGTTTTAATCTGAATTAGTTAATTAAAAACATAAAAGTATTCACCCTCTTCCAGTCAGTATTCAGTAGATGCGCCTTTGACTGCAGTTCCAGCTTTGATCTTGTGTTGGTCTCAATCAGCCTGAACATCGGGATGCTGCAGTTTTACCTCATTCTTCTTTGTGACACTGTTCAAACTCCGTCAGGTTACACAGGAATCATGAGTGAACAGCCCTTGTCAAGTCTAGACACACACTCCCTGTTGAATTGAGGTCTGGTCTCCAGTTCGGCCTCCAGAACATTCACCTTGTCGTCTTTAAACCATTTCTGTGTAGCTTCGGCTGTTTGTCTTGCTGGAAAGCAAATCTTCTCCCGAGCCACAGTTCTTTTGCAGACAGCATCAGGTTGTCCTCCAGCATTTCTCTATACTTTACTGCATTTATTTGACCCTCTACCTTTACAAGCCATCCAGGGTCTGCTGCCAAGAAGCATCCCCACATCATGATGCTGCCACCACCATGCTTCACAGAGCAGATGGTGTGTTTGTGATGATGTGCAGTGTTTGGTGGCAATCTAACATAGCATCTAGTCTGATGGACAAAAAGCTTTATTTTGGTCTCACCAGATCAAAGAACCTTCTTCCAGCTGACTTCAGAGTCTCCCACATGTCTTCTGGTGAACTCTAGTCCAGATTTAATATGAGCTTTTTCCAGCAGTGTCTTTCTCTTATCACTCTCCCATAAAGCTTGAACAGTATGAACAGTCTCCTCCATCTCAGATACTGAAGCTTGTAACTCTCTCAGAGGACTCATAGGCGTCTTGGTGGCTTCCCTTACTCGTCTCTTTCTTGCTCAGTCACTCAGTACTGATTTCCCCAGTGACTGGACCTTCCAGATACAGGTGTCTTTATACTACAATCACTGAGACTCATTGACTGCACTCAGATGATCCTTATTTCACTAATTGCGTGACTTCTCGCACCAACGAGCTGCACCTGAATTGAATGAAGTGAGTCACTTTAAAGGTGCAGTTGTTTGCAGGTTAGGTTTCTGTGCTGAACGCTGCTTTCAGTCTGTGTAATCAGTGTCTTTGCTCGTTTCTTTCAGGTGGTTGTGCTACTGCCACGTCCCACAAAGCAACGACAGCCTGCCGCGCTATGAAACCACTCATGTGTTTGGCCGCAACCTGCTCAAGTCCATCTTCACGGTGACCCGCCGGCAGCTGCTGGAGAAGTTCAGAGTGGAGAAGGATAAACTGCTGCCAGAGAAACGCACTCTTATCCTCACACACTTCCCGAAGTAAGGAGGGACTCCTGAAAGAGTTTCAAAATGATTTAAAAAAAAACAACTTAGAAAAGCTACAAAAAGCTTATCACTCCACATTTATTCAAGCATCACGCAGTGCTAGCTTAGCATAAACCCCTTCTGGAGATCTTCCTGTGTTCATTGCATTTGTACGTGTGTGTCGTCAGGTTCTTGTCGATGCTGGAGGAGGAAATTTACGGTGAGAATTCACCCATATGGGAGGCCGACTTCACCATGCCGGCCTCAGACGGCACCCAGCTGGGACATCAGACAGGTGAGGCAGCTGGACGCAAAACCAGACAGGTGGAGGTGGAGACGACCACGAGTAAAACCATAGAGAAGAGTATTGATTTATACTGTTAAAAAAATAATACCTGAAAACACAGAAACAGATCAAGACTGTAAAAAAA